GCAAAGTTGAACCCATTTTATGTGACTTACATATCTGCCTAGCCCCTAGTGTTCTTATAACAGCAGCAATATCTTCCAATGACCAGTTTCCATCAATCCATCCATCTCCCCTAAACGTAGGAATGGATTCACCTGGTAGGCGCTTGGAATATATTCGTACTCCTGCACGTTCAGTGTGGAAAGTCCATCCATGCTGAGATGGATCGTCAGTGTCAAGAGATTTTAAATGACCCATTGCTGATTGAGCGACATTAGAATGACGATGGAGAGGATAATGACGCCGGCTCCTATTGGAAAGCGAGACATAGTAAGTAACGTACTTGTAGGAGAATAAACAGACTTGGTGCATTGACGGTGGTACTTAAAAAGAGACACATTCTTCCTTTAATGAAAGCAAATGTTTTACTCTTACATTGTTGTCTTATCAAGCGCCGTCTTGAAAGATAAAGAGTGGTTTTGCATAAATGTTTCGACAGTCATTACAAGCGTAAAAGTTGGTTATCAAATAGTGAAAATGAGAATGTGTTCTAAATCAGTTTTCGTTTAAAGTTTAATTACTTTTACTAATAGTAGATTAAAGGAATGTGTAAATTTCACTATAATTGAGGCAAGAAGTGTGATTATGTAAAAAAGAAAGTTTTGGAATGTAATTCTTATGTGAGTTGTTGATGAGTTTTTTATAGCATAGAAGTATAAAATTGGATGTTGCACATTCCAATTTTCGTTTCTTCTTAGCCGTCAATTCGAATAACCCAATGAGGGATTTGGTGGTATCGTTAGGAGGAGAGGAAGTACGCAGAAATATGGCATTGTAAATGGGATGGTCGGCTTATTATACTTACTGATTGGGGAGAGGGTGAGTGGCGGCGAACAATACGAATGGTATGAAATAAGTAAATATATCAGGCACAAATTTAGATAGGATGCACAACGTTGTGTAATCAACGTTAATAGAATGGATCCAGAAGCCACGGTTATTGCCCATTGTGGATAGTCGAAAATTCAAGTTTTGAAGTGATACAAGTCATTGAATCTCGCGCATTTATGTTGACTAATGCGGTTAATACAAAAGAGGGAAATAAGCGGTATTTATTTGTTTATATTTAAACGGTAATTTGTTCTTTTTTTCGTTTCATATCCTGTATGCAATTTGCAAAATGAACTTCATGAGATGCATGGGAAGCAGCAGGTAGCGTGGTACTAACCTGGCATGTTTTCATCATAGAAATTGTGACAGGATAACTAGTCCTAACTAGACCTAGACTTTTCGTCATGGAAATTGTGACAAGGATAACTAGTACTAACTAGACTTAGACTTTTCATCATGGAAATTGTGACGAGGATAACTAGTCCTAACTAGTTCTAGGACTTCATCAGCGGTGATTCGAATAGCCAAGGAGACTGTAACTCTTGCTCGTTTAGTTTACTATACATTATCTTATATTTTGTTGGATCTTCAACATAATTCTTTTGCTAGATCGTTCATTGGATATTGCGCTGTCAGAGAAAAATAAACGGACATACCAATTTTGGGGTTCGGATGTTATTACGAGCCACAGGTCCAATGACAAGGGTGAACAAGTGCGCGGACCATATCTATAATTGACGGTATGGCTGGCATCGTGTAAATGGCGACCAATGATATTAAACCGTTCTGACATCAGACAAATTTGGATGAGAAGGTTTGTAACATACCTTCCACCCCTAACCTGAATATTAATTAATATTCCTTAGATCGATTGAAGTAAATTTAGAGATCCGACGATAATAAAGAAAAAAGTATTAAAGTGAACAATGCAGTCTGAAACGTTCGAACGTATCAAGAAAACAGGATAATGGACTTCGATCATCAACTTTTTCAAGAGGAAGCACGTGAGTTTCCAATTACTTTTGCAGGCATCATCTTAGCCTCTTCAGCGTAGCAACCCCATTTTTAGGAAGTAGAGATTGATGCTACTGATATCGTATTTGCTGAGTGTTTCTTCTTTTTTACATTCTCTTGCCAGTTTCACTGAGGTCAGAGAATCCGGTTAAAAGGCGAAATATGACAGAACAAGAATGACGAATAGTGTCATTTCACCCTAGCTTGAAGAAAGCTCCGTAATAATGGGTTTGTCATTAAACAAGTCTACGAAAGCCTCCGCATATCGAAATCTAGAAGCAAAATGCGGACCGTGCAGCATCACACAACACTGCACATTAAACCCCTCGCAGCAGAAACCGAAATAAAGTACAACTCAACATATGTGACCAATTTCGCTGTGACAAAGGAAGTTATGCTTTAATGAGCATCGTCCCCATATGTTGAACACTCGTAGTATTGCTTTGAGTTTCAACTTTTTCGGTATTTGATACCTGATATTATGGAATCATAATTAATTATTCGCGCGCTTAACCACTCTCAATATGATGTATTCTCTACTCGTATCAAATAACGGTACCAACTATTATCAAACAATAATAATTTAATAATCGTTGAATCGAAAGGTAATTTTTAATATTCTCGTCACTCACTACTATTTACTTTATATGTTTATCAATAAGAATGACGCTTTCCGCTATTCGCGTAATTGCGTACCAATGTCTTTCGAATGTTTTCGTTGTAATCGATAGTCCGTATCGTATCAATTCCAGACACTTTTAGTGAATTGATTTCAAAGGCAACCATCTAACAAATATTAACTCGATGATTTTTGACGATGGAATGTGAACTGTACTTACCGTATAGTTCCGAAAATAAGCACCCCCTTTAACGAGGATCTAACAACCTCGTGTAATACAAATCATAGGTGTAAATATAACAGTCGCATGCTATAAACATTTAGAAGGAAGTGCTTATTTTCGGGGGTATTTTCAGAACTAAACGGTATGCGTCGATAATTTTCTGCAGGCCTAAATTTAGAATCAGAAAAGTAAGTTGCGAACCTCGTTATATCGAAGTGTCGGGGAGGCATCCATGATTCATTTGTTACTGATTAGTATAATTATTTTATTATATTCATGTATTATAGTTTGTAAATTGAAGTAAAGATATTATTCACATAAGTCTCATTATAACGGATATCGCTTGACGCTAGGCCTAACTTTGT